CTGACTATTGTGGTCAAAAATTGGAAGATAACAGAAAACTGATTGTTCCATACCTTTTAGAGAGGAGTGCAGAATTCCGAAGACTTAGCGCATTACGACAGAGAGTTAGTCATATTCAATTGTAGTCCGATCTACCGTACTGACCTGTTGCGGATAGGGATGGAGCAACCCTGAAGGGGATGCTTTCTTCCAGAAGCAACGTCGGATTGCTGATGGAAACGATGAACAGACTGCCATTTCTTTCTATAAAATGATGAAGACCATTGGAGATGAGCTTCACAAATTCACCAACGCCTTCGCAATCCCGAAACTCAAGACAGGACAGCCGACAATTCTCGACATGTGTATGGCTCCCGGAGGCTTTCTTGCTACGGCGTTGAGCAAGAACCCAGGGGCCTCCGCTCTTGCTTTTAGCTTGCCTATCTCTAGTGGAGGACACAAAGCTCTTTTACCACGGCATCCTAATGTCAAGAAATACTTTCTAGATATCACAATGCTCGCTGCGGACTTGGACGTAGGGGACATTCCAAATGGTCATCCGGATGCCAATAACTTTCTGCCGCGGTATTTTTCAAAAGACCAGCTATTTGATCTAGCGTTTTGTGATGGACAGGTCCTAAGAACTCATGACCGGGCATCCTATCGAGAGAAGCGAGAAGCAAGAAGACTGGCTGTGACACAATTGGCCCTTAGCCTTGAGCATTTGCGGCCAGGAGGTACGGTCATCGTCCTTCTTCATAAAGTAGAGACGCCGGGAACCGTGAATCTCCTTTGGACGTTCCACAAGTTCTCCTCTGTGAGAGTCTTCAAACCGAAGAAGGGTCATGCCAAACGATCCTCTTTTTATATGATAGCTACATCTGTCCAAAGCCAGCATCCGGCAGCTATTCAAGCAGTAGCCGATTGGAAAATGATATGGAAATTGGCGACGTTCGCGTCGGATGCAGACTATCATAAGGCAATTGGAATGAGCTATGGCGACATCGTAGAACTCCTCGAGGGGTTTGGCTCAGAAATTGTAAATCTGGGGGAGAGTGTTTGGAGTTGTCAAGTAGATGCCCTGGAGAATGCTTCTTTCATTCAAAAGAGGGATAGCCGAATCGAAAGCTCAAACGGAATTGTGGAAATATGAGTAATGTGACTAATCATGCATGCTACCTTCTTGATGAGAGGATAACAAGTCGTTTTTTGAGAGAAACTATACAACAGAGTTTCAGGTTCAGCATCTGCTTTTAGTGTCCACACTTTTTTAGGGTAAGTCACTATAGGACTTACGGACAGTGCGGAAATACAGTAAGCTATAAACACATGCGAGAGACACCCCATCGTTGACAATTATCCTTTTGATCGTCTGGTAAAGCAGCTTGTATTGTGGTACTAGTACCAGTACCGTTCTGGGCCTGCGCTCTGATCATACATTATCGCATTTCCCGCTGGACAGTTTTGATGACCTTGAGCATACAGTCAGAGTACTTGTATAGGGCGAGATACTGATGTCTATGGGGCTCGATTTCCAGTCTGTTGATACAGGACCAAGACATCCCAAGCACGACACAAAATATCGACATGGTCTATCAACTCTTCAGTCATCGCAACCCAGCAGATTGAGTAGCTATCAAGTTGCTGGAGAGGGCTTGCCATCTGGTAGACTGCTTCTTCAAACCGTCCGTAGACGAACCGAGTTATAGCTTGGCGAAGCTTCTGGAGCAGCCTTTGTAGCGACGTGTTATCTGCAAAGCAATTTCGACCTCCGAGGAGAAAGTGAGCCGCGATCGCGCCGCGTAGGCGTATGTGGATTTGGGCATTTTTCCTGTAGGCCTTGGTTGCACGTAGAAGAGGAATATACGATAAAAATAGCCACGTTCCACGGACGAGGATAGCGTATTTGCGGCTTGTTTCCACAGGAGAACTGGTTACTTGAAAGGTATTGGAGAGCCAAAGGTTTTTGTAGCCAATCTCACTTACGGCGCCCTGGTTTTGGTACATGTTTTCTTGCCTTTCGTTCAACGTCCTAGACTAGACGTGCTCGCACAGACGATCGCACCCAACTCTTCTGTCTCCCATTTTAACGCGGGGTGGGCTGCGAAATTGCATTTGGCTGCGAGTAATGATTACAGCCTGGCAACCTGCCGTGATTCATTCTCGGCTCCAAACATGCTCGTTGGTAGAGTCCCACCCCGTGCGAGGCCCTACCAACCTGTTCCAGCTTTCTCTTCATGAGCTCTTGGGTATTTCTCTGCTGGCGGCGTATGTCTACAGTGCCAGGCGCACCCGCTCGACACGTGGCTGGATGATGCAGCGGCTTTCGCGTATCAACTGTTGTACCTCGGCCAGGTCGGCCTGCCCGAGCTGGAGGTAGGACGTCATGATACAAGCGGCATCATAATATGGGCCGGGTTGGTATGGCCAACAAGTTTCGTCCTCGTGAATCTCATGGACCTCTCCATCGGTGGCTGAAGGTCTCCATATGTCAGCCTCGTATGTATGTTGACGTTTTTGAGTCTCAAGCCAACTGAGTTGCTCCACGCCAGTAGTGTCTTGCTTCTCGGTAGTCGGCGATATAACACACAACTCCCTTCCAAACAAGCTCTCAGGACAAGCCAGATGTGGGAGAATCTCGTCGATATCCCAGTTATTATCATCCTCATTGTCCTCCTCCCATTCCTTGCACGGCTGGACGATAGCCCCGTTATCGGGAGCTCTCCACTGTCCATGCTTCTTCAGCCAGTATATGAACTTCTTATGCTTCCGAGCGACTATGCGGCGGTCCTGGTGATTATAGAGAATCCAGATGGAGCTGCTCTCTGGGATTGGGGCCTCAGCATCAACGGCTATTGTGTAGGCGGTGGGTTCGCCGCGGCTGTCGCCACCATGGCGCAGCTCTGGACTGAGCACGCCCAGCTGGCCGATGGGGGTCACGACGGCCGGGACCACACGGGTTCTCGCGGCGGCGAAATCGTACAGGCTCCGGTCAAGCCGGAACCTCCGTGGGGCATAAGGGCCGCCGTCGGCGGATGACGTATGTTTCATGACAGTGTAGATGCACATAATACGTCATCTGCTCTCACTCCTAACCATCTCACAAGGATAGTTTCATACCACGATCTCGTCGTTAACCTGTCTTTACTCCTATCAAGCTGTTCTTACATGTGGCTACATTCTAGGACCCTAGGGATATCAATACTAGCTTTTCACTCGAAGAAAGCTTTCCCTACTGCAAAGAACACGTACCCTAAGCCTCCAATATCTCATTCCTTGCCATTATCGTAGTCCTCCTTTTCATCTGTACCAGAATCAAAAACCGCTACGTCTTTCTGGATTGTTTGAGAGTCGTGGACGACGACATGTTTATGGTATGTAAGAATATCTGTTTCCTCATTGGACTCTTGTGGAGTTTGTCATCGGTCACTGTGGAGCGTTTGGTACTGTCTTGGTCTGAGATGTATCCGTACCAAACAAGGTTGTAATGGCGTGTCTTGCAAGCCCCAACTCAACTTGGCTGGATAAAGCATGATGAGCTGCTTGAGCCTCAGCCTACGAGGCTGAAGTTGCATTGATGGATGGATCGGCGCTGGCTAATCCTCGTCAGTGGTCTTGCCATGCGCGGCCGTGCACTAGCAGGGGGAAACTATTTGGACCATTTAGACCATTTAGGCAAGGCAAGCATCTTTTAGTGGCTGACACCACCTAACATACCCCACTACCCCAGGTGGAAATCCACTGCTCCACAGATGCCACTGCTCCAAACGAGGGGTGTCGCGCTGTTCCATTCCAGGTTAATAAGCACCTGCACCTGCACCTGCCTGATAAGATAAGTTATCGATGATAACGATAACAACAGACTCCAATGATTACATCATCCTTTGATGCAATCCGACCACAGGCGAACAAACTGAGAGCGCTTGGAGGTACAAAGCGTGCCAGGGAAACGAACTGGGAGAGGACAGCCAGGAGGTCGATATCTCAACAATCTAAGCTTTTGAAGTACTATTGAGGGGTGGTCGAATAATTACTAGATAGATAGATGCGGCCATTGATTGATGATGATATTGATTGTGGTTGAGATTCAGGCTTAGATTCAGATTCAGGAAACTCTTGTTTCATTTGATAAAAAGAAAGATCGGCCAGTCAGTCAGTCACCTTTTTGGTTGTCGACGATGTGTGGGTTATCTTCCATTCCAACTTGCTTCTCATTACAACCAACGTATTTAATTTGAATCTGAATCTGAATCTGAAATTCTTCAAGTCAGCAGTGTGACAGCTTCTTCTTATTATTTTCCTCCTATCCTGTTAATCTGTGACGATGTGCAATCCCACTCGGTTGTACTCTATGTAAACTTTAGGCTTGAGTACAGTGGCACTTATAAGTTACGCCATGTGGAGGAGGAGGTGTTTTCAGGTACATACAGTACAGTGGATTGTGGATGCTTGCACATGGAGACTGAATGGATACAACCTTGGAAGAGACGAAAGTCTCATCACGTGCACCCGCGTCCAAACACACACACGATCGTGAGATTGAGTGTGTCTGTGGGACGTGTCCCAGACAATGACGATTTAATCATTCACCAACTCCGACTCCAACTCCCTCCCGCACCACCTTTTTTTCTCTCTTTCACTCTCTTTCACGTCGACCTCGACCTCGACCTCGACCTCGACCTCGACGATCATCAAAAATCTCTCCACACGAGCCCAGACAACGCTTTGCGCATCACGATTTTGTGAACAAAACAACAACCACCCGGGCCCAGGCCTGAACTGCATCACACGGACAGCATCGTGAGTCCACGGCCCGTGGCACCGGTTCAAGAACCAAAACATAGAAAAAAGTCATCAAAGAAGTCAACACCGCAGAAACGCCGGTGACCATGGCTCCATTCCGTTCAGACCCTCCACACGCGGGCTCAACACAATCTTCCCATAACTCGCCACCCACCCACCAAACTCCACGCTCCGTCCACTTCTCGCAGGTGACATTCAACGATCGAGGCAATTTCACCATGTCGTTCGGCGTAATTTCAGACGCTGCCATCAAATGTAAGCCCAGCGCCCAGCTTGGTGTGGTGTCGTCCCACCAGCCGTCGCGTCCCATCCTATCCCATCCTATCCCGTTGCGTCCCGTCGCGTCCCGTCAGCGTTGCGCAGTTTCGCATCATTCTGCCTGCTGACCTGGCTGCCTGACCGACTGGCTTGCTGATTGACTGACTCTTGCTGACGATCCTTTTCTACTCAAGTCTTCACCGCACAACGCCCGGTGTCCAACCTGCAGCCGACCTAGAACGCCGTTGCCAGTGACTCCAAGAGCGCAACCGTGAACACGTCTCCCACCGAGATCCTCGTCAAGTCCGACCAGCAAGTCAGCGACGCCTTACTACGTACCGTCCAGCGTACCGTCAACACCGCCAACCGCCCCCGCAATATCCGCACCGGCTGCATCCTCGGCATGGCTGCTGTGTTCGGCACCCTCCTCTATCTCGACCGCGGCCGCGACGCCGCCACAGCCTACATCAACCGCCTGAACAAGGAGGCAGAGATTGCAAAGGGCAAGGCAGAGATCGAGGCAGAGATTGCAAAGGCAAAGGTGGAGATCTTGAGGGCCGAGGCGGAGAAGATTCGAGCAGCAACGCGCGCTTCCCTGGCAGGAATGTAGAGTTTTGCGGGGCCGCGCCGCTCTTGCAGACGGAGGCTGATGGCGTCGAATCGCATCAGAGTGCACCAGGGTGCAACACAACACGCCAGGCGTGATCTCTTCTCGATCTGTTAGGTTATTACAACCACGACCGGATTTCCTTCTTTCATCCACAAGGAGATTGGTTGCATGGAACGGACTCCCATTCCCGGCCAGCCTCTCTCTTTCCTCGTCACTCCATTCTCCACTCTCCCCAAAAGATAGAGCAGATGTGACGGACCGTAGAGCGC